ACATTTAGTCTCCAAAATAAATAAATTAAAAAAGGCCCAATTTGGTCGACAGAGATTGAAGGATTGACCCCACTTGGTTCAACATTACATTTTCTTGGTGTTGAGAGTAGCAAACCTTATTTAGTGAGACGAGGAAGCAGAAGCAGATTGCTAATCCTTTCCTCTGATTGAAATGAAATAAAAAAAGTCAAAGTTTCCGAGCTGAGCTGACCTCCCATTCCTCATTCTGTTAAACTCAGACTGTGACTGTTGTCAGCTACACTTTCAGTCCTCACTGTAACGACCCCGACCTTTGCGGTCGTGCATTTGGAGATAGAGTACCCGTCTGTTTAACGTCAGCGGTGGGACTAAGTGTACAGCAGAGGTTTCAGTGTGCTGATGGTTCTCAGCAGTAGGACTTCCTGTTACACCGTGCGATGGTTTCACTGTAGAGCCCAGAGCTGCACGCACCTTTCTCATCAGTCATCTCATGATTTTTAAACCTGTTCTCTCAGCTGTGGTCTCATCTGTTGAACCAAGTGAAAAATTAGTATGTGGACACGTGGTCTGCCACAGGTTTGTTTCCTGTTTCTTGTTAGTTTGGTGGTAGAACTTGAACAATATGAAAAATGATCATGAGTCTTTATGATCCGATAAATGCCAACATGCTACAACTTCAGTCAGTCTAGATGATGGTTTAAATGTTTAGCTTTTGTTTCTCTTTTTGCGCTTTCCTTAATCTAATCACTGAACCCATAACAGGTCATGACAACAATGTCAGCGTTAGGTCCTTTGTGTTTCCATATTCTGTTCCTTCTCCATTTAGCGAGTGCTTGCAAGCTGAGGGAACATTTTTAATGTGAAGCCTCCCTCAAGGTCATCTGTGTCAAGGCGAACGTCCATCTCCGATTCTTACAAATCAATGGATGAGAAGGGTTTGCTCTGGAGTCTTGTTCTGTTCCTTGGACTTTTACGAAGCGATTTTTTTCATGGTGGGAAAACATTGCTTTCTCGTCTTACCTCCAGCTCATGATTCTGCTGACAGCAGCATTTATTGATACCTCATTCTCAGCAGGATGTTGTCCACCAAAATGCCCCGGGGATCAAAGTGATACGATATGAAAAGTATTTACTCTCTTGAACCCAGCGGCCTTTTGGCTCCGATAGTCACTGAAACCAAGAGGCCCAAGGGCCAAATCATGAACTTAACTTAAGTTTGGTGAATGTGTATTGCATTATAACTGCTTATCAATATCAACAAAGATTAGACATATTCATACACCTAATCTTTTCTGTGCCAATTCAACTTTTTTTTTGTAAAATCCTCTGATGCAACTGTCTCATTGGAAACACCAATTTGAAGCAGCAAATCAGTTAGATGGTAAACATGGCGTGCCAATGCTCTGTTTGCTTGTTTTTAACTACACTGTGGTTACAGCCTCAGTCACTGCAGATAACAAACCACCGCTTAGGTAAAAGTCTGATAAAAGTAAATTTTTCCTTCATGTAAACGCCCATTAGGGACATGATGTGGAAATAATGAAAGCAGGATTCTATCTTTTCCTCATGTTTATAGTATCCCAACAAGATATCTGGCCTTTTCAAAATCTTATTTCTCAATAATTTTGGAGATTTCAGAGATTTGAGGGTTTGTTAGACTTTCTTTCAAGGTCTTGTAGAGTTGGGCAGACTTCAATCAGATCTTGGTCTCATATTTTTATGATTTTGCTGCAATGTTGGACAGATGGAAGTTGTGGGAAACACTGAAAGAGCTTTTGGGTGACTTTGAACAAAGCAGCACTGCATCAGAGATTCATTTTTTAAATATAGACAACTGGTTAGGTGTTGAAGGATTGGATTTGTTTGTGTGATTTATCGTTTTTAGCCATTGCTTGATACTTGTTGTTTCAGTAATATTTGTAGAAAGACTCTCTGTTTATCTCATAATCTAATGAACAATGTAGATTTAATTAACAGAAAAGCTTATCTGCCCCTTCAGCTTTTCTGATGGAGAAGCTGGACTATCACCTTGTTTTGTTTTTGGTGGAAGAAACCCAATCAATTATCATGGATACCTCTACCTTTTGAGTATCAAAACATCCGATGACCTCGTATCCGACCTCTGACCAAAGGCACTGCTATGTTATTACTCCAAAGCCTCTCATCTAATCAGTTGCCAAATTTAGTCTTTAGTGCCTTCGTCATTGCGCCACACTCCAAGACATGATGGATTACTTCTTCCAACGGCATTTCCGCCGCTGCCAAAAGGGACCGAAGCACAACGCTGCAGTGCGTCAACCTGCTCCTGCTGTTCAGACCAGTAAAGCCCGGAGACGCTCCAGTGTTGGTTTGCCTTCAGTAGCACTAGCACAGTCCAGGCGCTCCTCCATTGGTTTACCTCGGATAGATACCGATTCGCGTCGGCGCCAAAGTGTTGGCTTACTGGTCGCCAGTGGACAGAAGCGACAGTCCATTATAGAGCTAGCAGGAGACTCAGGGAGAGGAGCAGAAAAAACAGATGGCGCCGCCAAAAGAGGGAGAAGAGTGTTCAACCATAAGCCTTACCGTTCTCACGGCCCGTCTGGCACCATCCCTCGTGGACTGGCTGTGCGATGTCGACGCCATTCGAGAGTCAAATCCATTGAATCTCATTTACTCGGATCCTCGATGTTACTTGCGAGTTTGGTTCAGATGGGAAGAGAAGCGAAAGAGAAAGAGGAGGAGCAAGAAGTCTCCATGTATTCGTGTTCAGAGTCAGACGGAGAGGAGGTGGCGACAGACGAAGAAGAAGCAGAAAACAGGCGTGTGGATCACTTAACCCAGGCGGTCATTTTGGAAAACATCAGTCCTCGCCCGTTGCTCCGCCCTCCTCGCTGCCTGAGACGAAACTCCTCCCACCTCCTTCCAGCAGAGTCGGTGTTACAGAGCCGGGAAACAGATTATGGAGTTTACGGCCGATACAATCAACGGCGGTCAAGTCAGAATCACTGGACTCCGAGTAAACCGATCCAGACTTCCACTACCAGCCCCAGTTTGGGTCAGCTGGTCTCAGAGGGTCTGAACTCTGAGTCTGCTGAGACAGATGAGTCCTCCTCTGGGTCTGCACTCCATAAAAGCTGCTCTTCACCGCTTTGTGGACCGGAGGAAACTATATATTATGATCCATATCTGGATACGTGGGAGGACTTCCTGTCGTATGTAAACACGCATATACACACACAAACACACATATGCAGCATCACATACTCCTCTTTTGGTTTTGGTTATTTATGCAAGACTTAGTTGACATTATTTGTTGGGGAAAGTTTACAAGTTTCTGTTGTTTTAAGCTTTTGCAGAAACTGGAGAACCCAAATGTACAAATCAGTTGAAGTGGAAATCAAACAGACTTTGCCCTGCAGTCCAGATAAAGTCCTGGCCCCGTCTTCTGACAGTTAAAATAAATCAGGGGGAGATTTTCTGATCAAAAGCATTACCCACACATGTAGGACGAGATCACAAAGAGTTAAGATGTACTGTTTTGTCCAGAGGGGGCGCCAAAATCGACACAAACTGGAAGGAGTTCAAACAGCGTCTGTTGTAGTAGAAAAATATTTCTGTGGATAATTTCTGTAGCAGGTTCAGATGAGTTGTGTGCAGGGGTGACAATAGACCAAAACAAAGCCAGAGCGAGTTTCTCGCCAGGATCATATTCAGGATACAGGAAACAACGGGCTGAAACGAAAAGGAGGGGTGGGCTGGGCAAAACTTGTTCTCTGAGAAAAGGACAGGCAATGAAACCGCCAAACACCCGAGAATTGTTCAAACCCCAGGGGAGCACGAGTGACCCACATCACAATGAGGTTCAAGTTTGTTTTCGAGTCTCTAAAGAGAGTCACATCAATGTCTATAAATATAAAAACATTGCTGGAGTTCTTGTGGGACACTTTTCATCCTCACCAGTTACAGAAACACACTCTGATACACGTCTAGAGATGACTGTCCAGAAAACAGGAACTTTTATGTATTAACTTGTCGTGGTAATCAGAGATTAAGGTCCAATATTAACCCAATGGCGTGCTATTTTGTCCCTTTTGGTGCACTGTAGTTAAGGTCCAATCAGTAAGAGCTGTAGTGACTTTATAAAAGAGTCTTGTTTTTCATTTGCTGCAAAAAAACGACTTGTTGCTGCTTCTTTCATGCCTCTGATTGATTACGGTGATGTTTTATACTTCCATGCCGCTTCTCACTGAATGCATATATAAAATCTTGGATGCTGTGTATCATGGAGCGTTGAGGTTCAGAACAAATCCCCGGGCCCTGACTCATCACTGTGCTCTGTTTGACCGAGTTAGCTCGCTTTCATTGACCCCTCGCAGACGCCCTTTTATTCATTCTGAAAATGTTGAAAGCTTCAGCCCTCTCTCTCTGCTAACCAGTCACAAAAAAAGCACTCTTGTTATCTCTTCCCAAAGTGCGTCTTGAAACGGGGAAAAGGCGTTTCAGGTCTGCTGCTCCTGCAGGATGATCTGTGTCTGGGGGAGCTGGTCTCTTTAAACCTTTTTAAAAGTAGATTGAAGGTTTATGAGGCTTTAACTGATGACTGTTCGGCTCGGTGACTCAGGAGATGTTGATCTGTGTTTGTAATCGTTCTGTGTTTTATGAATGTGCTGCTGCCTCTCTCGGCCAGGACTCTCTGGTAAATGAGAATCATGATCTCAGTGAAGGTGTTCTGGTGAAAAAGAGTTAAAATAAATAAAACTTAACGTAAGCGCTCAGCTGACGAGTCAAAGGAAGTATCCACCGTATGACATCAAACATTTACCTTTGTTACTGTTCCTTTTCCACCTCCTAACAAGTTCCTTTTTTTAAGTCAATGCTCAACTTTCAATCCACCGGAAGTTCATTGTTTTCTTTCAAAATAAAAGCTGGTTTGATCCAATTAGTTAGATTTTTAATTAAATTGTTTTCTTTCCTTTTTTAGTTTTACAATCAAGAAGAAAATCAGAGCATTCACAAGTTTCTCTCGTTTGTGTTTCCAGGAAAGCTATCGCCAAGTCCGGCCTTCACCATCTGCCCTGTCAGCCGAGCACATCGTCTCTGAACAGAACCGACCCCGAGGCAATTATCCGCAGCACTCTGGACTGGACTGTGAGTTCTGCACATTCTTCCTTAAAAAAATAAATGTTTTTTGAGGTCTAAGTAGGAAATAAGGTGCTAGAATCCCCTAGGATAAACATTAAAAGTTGACTCTGATCACCCAGCTTTAGCTTTCCAATCTTCATCTGTAGATGTATAGAAAACAGGGGAATGCTTCACATCTGTCCTCCTCTGTGTGTCTGTGTTTGCTTCTGCAGGACTCGGCTCTGTACGGAGATCATATCTGGTTCGAGACGAATGTTTCTGGAGATTATTGTTATGTAGGAGAACACTGCATCGCCCGAGCACAGGTCAGTATCTCACTCATGATCATCTGTCATCTGACTCTGCCTCTTAATCTTATGCAAGAGTCATACTCAGCTGCATTTCACTTTGCAGACGCTGTCAGGTTGAAGCAAGCCTGTTAGAAATAAAACCAGACTCCACCAGCTAAACTTTAAAAAAAGGCGTCCCTCACTGTCATCTTTTCTTAAACCTGTTGCAAAAATCTGGGCGTGACTTTTGGCTCAACTTTTAAATTTGACAAACAGATAAACTCTGAGGTCGACTGCTGCTTCCTCCAGTTACCATCCTTAGATTAATTAAACCGTGTTAAAGTTTCCTAGATGCAGAAAAAAACCTCCATTTTGTTTTTCTAGAGTGATCCAGGTTGTAAGTAGAGAAGGTCGTGCCTTTTAATGACTTCCTCATTACCAACCTTCATCTTTGAAAGGTCAAACTCGGCGGGAACCCCTCTGCATGAGCGCTACCACACTGACTCATCTTCTTCTTTATCTAATAAATATCACTCTATGCTCATGTGTTTCATCTCCAGCATGAAAAAAACAGCCCGTCATTATCTCAGAACGCCGGCATGTCATGATATATTTTTATTCCCGTCAGCTCGTATCAGGGTCAAACATTTAACCGGCCTTGTCACGTCACAAACGTCACGCTCGATCATTTCAGATCTTATCACAGTTTGTATCTGACCGCAGCTGCAGGAACTTCAAATCACTTTTTGTAAAACAACGCTGACCCCTAGTGGTCAGAGATGATACGACTGAACCAAAGCTGCTGAAAATCAAAATCCAACTCACTGAATGATATATTTTTAACACTCTATTTCATCGATTCCTGAGTTCATGTCTCTAATCTTTCAAACTTCTCGTTTCTTTTTGTCTTTTTCAGCAAAAGTCGGTCATCCGAAAGAAGTGTGCAGCCTGTAAGATCGTCGCCCACACCATCTGTATCGAACAACTAGACAAGGTAATTCTGCTTTCATTTAAAGACTTTAAACAGAAATTAGAGCGAGTCAGCGTTTTAAGACCATTTCTCTCTTTTTATCCTCTGCATTCTTTGTGTTTATATTTCAGAGTTTAAATGACTCATAGGTGCGATCTTTAATGCTTCTACGTCCACTCAGAGTCGTTGTTTTTGTCCCTGACGGGCTCAGGTTGTTTTTCTAAGTGTACAGAAAAGGATTCCTGCAGAGAAAGACCCTTTAGTCACAGAGGGAGATTCCAGAAAATATGTAGAAATCAGGCCCAGATTTAAAAAACAGGACTTCCCCTTAAAGTCTAAAACATAAACATGCATGTGTCAAACGTCCGCCTGCACAGATGGATAAAAATGAGAAAATTAAGAGTGTGTTCTAAGAGTCTAATGGAGGAAAAAAGGTGAGAAAGAAGAAGAAAGGATTAAAGTTCCTGTCTTTAAAGACGAGGTAAAGATCACAGAGAAGTGAAAAGGAGGATTATTTAGATCTGTCACTCCTGATGTGGATCTAAAACCAGGTCAAGGATGATTCCATAGTCTTTATCTTTTCACTTCAGTCTTTGATTTCTCTGTGTGAAGCAGAGGACACGCAGCTTGTTTCTTTCTTTAACCGTCCCTCCTGTCTAACCTGCAGTTTACCAGCTCTAGTGCCATTCTGCTGGACGCCGCGCTGCCCCTCAATGATCCCGACTTTAGAGTGAGATAAAGCACCTTATTCATCCTCCTCCTCCTCCTCTCTCTCCTCTCTCCTGCTCTGTGATCCTCCATCTGACGGAAACACCCCCCGTCCATCAAAATATAAAGAATCAAGCGCGCGACGTCAGTGTTTCCGTCAGGAGGAGGATTCATCTGGAGCCACAATAAAGGATCTCATTGGTGGAGGCTAATGTGGGTGTCTGCTGCTCAAATTAAATCTCTACATGATGGAAATCAAATCTTAACAGTCTTAAAGGTTGATTTCCTTTGTCCTTTCAGTCTCATTTTCTGGTTGCTCAAAGTAGTGTCAAGTATTCACTCGAAAGCAAAGTGTCAGGGGGACATGTTGGACCTCGGGCAGGACCAAACACCTCGGGGAACAGACGTTTGCCTCGGCTGTAAGGGCGGAGAAAGTTTATAAACTAGGTCGAGAAAAAAAGGAGTAAGAGCAATGACTCATGTCATCATAACTGTAAGAGGAATAAAAGCGATTAAAAGTTTTATAAAACGTAATATGTAAGTCTCTCTGGTGCTTAAGACGCAGGTTTAAAGAGTCTTCCTGTGGTGGTCTTTCAGAACCTTCTGTGTCCACCAGGTGGTCACTATAAGCTTTATCAAAAAGGATTGTTTAAAGAGGTGCCTGCCTCCTGGACCCGGACTGGTCTAGTACACGATTTAATCAGAGAGTGGCCTCATAACTGAAGGTACTACTTTTTTCAGATCCTGTCAGCCTGCATTATGTGAGAATAATATTCTAGAGGAGAAATGGGGAACTAGAGGAGTTCCCAGAGAACTACGCAGCTTTAAAAGCTTCTTCTGTTTACATTCAAACCGCATCAAGGAACCTGAAACATTTATTTTCTCCTGACTCTGGCTGCGGGTCACAAAGCTTTTGCAGAAACTTCAGCGCACTAAAACTTAAGGATGGGGAGAGCAGTTTGCCTCTGAAGTTTTTGATGCAAACATGATGATATTGTGTTCTATAAACGCGTGATTCTGCAAGCTTTTGCACGTCATGCACACAGTTATCGCTTTTCGATTTTCAGTTTGTGAAATGCAAAGCTGAGCTGGGATACAAGCTCTGCAGAAACAGCTTTGTCAGCCTCACAGTGTTCACCGTGGGCGCTGCAGCATCTGGTGGTGTGTCTCTTTGGTCGACCCTGGTGCTTTTTTTCTTTTCTCTGCACACTTCATCACTTCATTGGGAGTCATGGTACCTTCAAGTGGACGCAGAGCAAACTCTCACTGCTGCAAAACACACAAGTCCGAACATCTTTCACTGAACCTGTCGATGTGTTTTTCATAAAAGCATGGAGCACTTTTAGAAATGGAGGTCATGGAGCCTGAAACAAATATCAACTGTAGAAAACATGTGCATGAGAAAGTCGAGGACAATTGTCAGTTTGCAACTTTTACAGTCTTTAGTTGCCGAGTTTCATTATAGGCCGCTGTGACCTTTCACCTTCAATCTGAATGTGGTGGAGGCGTAATGGGGGGATGAAGTGATCCCCCCTCTGTAACGTCTTCAGAGGTAGTAACAGAGGCATTACAGAGGAGAGACGCAGCGCTGAGCTTAGTTAGGACACTTTTTATCAGTCTGAAAAAGCTTCTTTTTTTTTTTTTTTTTTTTAGTTTACAAAGTTTCATGCTTTTATGAAAACTGTAACATTCTTTTTACGACTCACCTGGAGTAAAAACCCTCTCATAGTTCCAAACGAGGAGCAGTTATCAGACTTACTTACTCCTCTCTTCCCTTTCTCATCTTCTCTCCTCCAGATCAACTTCAGGTGCAAACCGTCTTTCAGGGAATCAGGCTCCAGGAACATTCGAGAGGTGAGTTTATTTTTTCTGTTTTTCCAACTTTTTCTTTAATCTCCGACTGGAAAATGTGAAGCCTGCCTCAGACTGCAGGAGTTTTAAAATCTCAGGTAGCATCACTCTCATCAGGAGAATCTTAACCGATCTTAAAGCCAGAACCAAAGGCGACTGGACTGGTGGAAGATCTCGAGTCTGGAACGACCCTGCGGTTGTCAGGATGAAGGATGTCGGACCTCACACCGGCCTGATTATCCTGCAGTCTGAGCCAGGCTTATCTGACTGATATTTGAAGCTGTTTATCCTACGAGAGTGTATTTAATGTTGTGGTTGAAGTGTTTAATGTGTGTATGTGTTCAGCCCATCGTTGTGCGTCATCACTGGGTTCACCGGAGGCGTCAGGAAGGGAAATGCAAACAATGTGGAAAGGTGAGTGACAGATCCTTTCTCAGATAGTTTCGATTCCTTTTTGGGTTTTTTTTTTTACAATGTGAGCGGTCAAAATGGGAGAATATGTAACGAAATGTTTACAAATGTGGTCGTTGAATTCCTTCAATTGAGCAGAAGCGAATCCCTAAAGCAGTTCTGCTCCTGTGTGCGTGTACAGGGCTTCCAGCAGAAGTTTGCTTTCCACAGTAAAGAGATCGTGGCCATCAGCTGCTCGTGGTGCAAACAGGCCGTGAGTACGACGTTTAACAATCACAACACTTCACTTTGATCTTGAAATAAATCAATGTTTTAAAATGCTTTTCTCTCTTTTAGTACCACAACAAGGTGTCCTGCTTCATGCTGCAGCAGATTGAGGAGGCGTGTCCAATAGGAGCTCACGCTGCTCTCATAGTCCCGCCCACCTGGATTATACGAGTAAAGCGGCATCAGGTAACACCGCGCTTCGTCTTTAAATAACGTGCAATATCTCCCTGACTGTGAAGTTGTTTCTTGTGTTTGTGATGATCAAGAGAAACACCTTGTAGATGCAGACGGTAGATATTCTTCCTTCTTTCCTTCTTTCCTTCTTTCCTTCTTTCCTTCTTTCCTTCTTTCCTTCTTTCCTTCCTTCCTGCAAATCAGGGCGGCTCAGGTGGGATTATCAATAAGTCTTTATGATGCAGAGTGAGATGTGTGGTGTTACTTCTGGAGAGGAATCTGTTTGACGCCTTTTCTGCCGCTAAAACCTGCAGCTGTCTTTGTGTTTGTGTCTCCATCAGTCGTCCATGAAGTCGAGTAAGAAGAAGAAGAGGACGTCGTTCAAGAGGAAAAGCAGCAAGAAAGGAGCAGAGGTCAGTCCTGAAGAGCAGCACGATGTCACGGCGTCTTTCTCAGACCCACAAATGTTTTAAATTCTCCACGCAGGGAGAAAATCAACAATTCTGACATGATCACATCTGAATTTAAAACCTTTGCACAAGATATATGTATCTGAATAGATGATAGTTTAACGATAAAAGAGGCCACAGAGTGTAGATTTTCTGACTTGTACTGCAGACCCATCGGCATGTTGATGCACGTGTAGTTTTCTTCCTCTCTCAGGGCTGCAAACAGACGAAGCAGCTGCTTTAAAATGCATAAAGGACGTCCTTGATTGTAGATATTCCACTAGCACACATTCAATGCAACCAACACAAAGACTTTTTCTGCTCAAAGTCTCCAAGGACATTTCATTATCAATGTCTTTCTTTGCACCTGTTTCTGGGACATAATTTATGATAAACTCGGGTTTCTGTACGTCTAAAAAAAAAAAAAAAGGATATGTTTGCAGAAACCGACTTAAGACAGTCTTTAGTGTCGATTCTGAGTGAGTATTTTATCTTCTTCTCTTTCAGGAAGGACGACTGTGGAAGCCGTTCATAATCCGGCCGATCCCTTCACCTCTGATGAAACCGCTGGTCGTGTTTGTTAACCCTAAAAGTGGAGGAAACCAGGTATTTTTTTACAAACTCACTCATTAACAAACCAGATGAGACTGTGATCTCCATATGTTTAAAAGTGTTTTTATGTCTTGTTTCCAGGGCACTAAGATCCTGCAGTCCTTCATGTGGTATCTGAACCCCCGACAGGTGTTTGACCTGAGCCAAGGAGGACCGACTGAGGGGTACGTCTCTCTGTTTCTATCTCAAACACACCTTGTTACATTCAATTAATTTGTCTGAGTTAACTTTTAACTGGTGTCAAACTTTTTAGGTTAGAGCTGTATCGTAAAGTCCACAACCTGAGGATCCTCGCCTGTGGAGGAGACGGCACTGTGAGTAGAAACACGCACACAGAGAATCCAGAGAGTGTTATACACCGTGACCATGTGTGCATTAAAGGAGCAATATGTAGCTGATTCAAACCAGAGCAAACGAGCTAGAGGTGTGAAAACGAGCTTTCATCGACTGTTTGGAGGGACTTTGTGTTTTGTCTCTTTCTTTGACTTCTTCTTCTTCTTTTGTCTGTGTTGAACCAGGTCGGCTGGATCCTGTCTAGTCTCGATGAACTCGGATTAAACCCTCAACCTCCCGTCTCTGTGTTACCGCTGGGTACGGGAAATGACCTCGCCAGGACCCTGAACTGGGGAGGGGTGGGTACAAAATATCCAGCTTCATTTTCATCTTTCCTCTTTTATGAAAGTTTGACTTCATGTTTTCATGCGTCGGTGTTTCAGGGCTACACGGACGAACCCCTGTCTAAGATCCTCTCACATGTCGAGGATGGGACCGTCGTGCAGCTAGACAGATGGAATCTACAGGTTGAACCGAACCAAAATACAGGGGCTGAACCGGACGAACAACAAACTGATAAGGTGACAAAAACTCACAATTTGTTTATTTACATGAGCAAATCTCCAAAAGGCTCCAATAGTACAAACACGGCCCAGAGGTTAAAGGTCAGTGACTGAATTAGCTGAGGTAGCAGACAGCTAGCAGCTCCCACCTGTCACTCAAAAGAGGCCACGCCCCCTAATTCTACATCACTTTAAGCCTTAATATAATTTGAACAGAAAGAGAAAAATGAGACCCAAACTGTTTTTGTACCAGGCTGTAAACTTTTTTTATTTTAACATGGAGCTCTATGGGGACTGACTCACTGCAGGAGACAGACTCTAGTGGACACTGGAGGAACTGCAGCTGTAAAGTTAGACATTTTAACATGGAGCTCTATGGGGACTGACTCACTGCAGGAGACAGACTCTAGTGGACACTGGAGGAACTGCAGCCTTTTTTCTACTTACCTATTGGCTATGGTTTCTAGCAGAGAAAAGAACCCAGATTTGACTCAACTGTAAACCCAATGTAACGGATATGCTTTGTATGTGTTTGTGTGTTCTCTCAGCTTCCTCTCGATGTTTTTAATAATTACTTCAGTCTTGGATTTGACGCCCATGTGACTCTGGAGTTCCACGAATCAAGAGGTACGTTCTTAAAATAACCAGAAGCTTTTAAGGTAGCCAGGACCTGCACTGGATTCCTCCTTGTAGTTTTGCAAGTTTGAGTTTTTCTGACATTATTTATTATCATTCAGAGTGTTAAGTTTAACGTGAATGATGCAGCATGGCAACAGAGAACGACATAAACTTCTCACTTTGTGGGAGGAGAAAATTTATCTTGAATCTTGCAGCGTAATCTGTCAAACAGCTTCTCTTGTTTTGTGTTAATATGAATGTTATAAGTTGCTGTTGCTTCATTGTTCTCAGAGGTTTTTGTTGATTTTCCGTCTCGCTGTCTGTCGTTGTTTCAGAGGCGAACCCGGAGAAGTTTAACAGCCGCTTTAGGAATAAGATGTTCTACGCTGGGGTGAGTAAACCGTTTATTTTCTACATTTTAAAATGTCACATCTCCAAACAACGATAATCTGGCTGTCCCCTCTTAGAAACCTGTGTGGTAGACCACAAATCCTGCTGGGGGCTTCATGATGCGCTCCTCTGAGAGAATTTACCTGTTCCTGTGTTTGTGTGTGTGTGTGTGTGTGTGTGTGTGTGTGTGTGTGTGTGTGTGTGTATCCCGCACAGACGGCGTTCTCAGATTTCCTGATGGGAAGCTCCAAAGACCTGTCGAAGCACATCAAAGTGGTGGTGAGTATCTGTCAATCAAACAGTCAGCTGCCTGTGAGAAAAACACTCAATCACTCTCTCTCTCTCTCTCTCTCTCTCTCTCTCTCTCTCTCTCTCTCTCTCTCTCTCTCTCCTCTCTCCTCTCTCTCTCTCTCGCCCTCTCTCTCTCCGCAGTGTGACGGCACAGATTTAACCTCGAAGGTTCAGGACTTGAAGCTGCAGTGTTTGGTCTTCCTCAACATCCCCAGGTGATAAATCCCACTTCTGATTCTTTCAGTATTTAAGTAAATATAAGTTTTAAAATCAGGACGATGTGTCATAAGGAATCAAACCTGAATCTTATCATCCTTTAGAGGTCGATATCAGAAGGGGGCGTGTCCAGACTTTGGAGATAATGGAGCATTAATAATATCCACATCATGTTTGAAATGTTGAGCTCTGACTCGTGTCAACACCGGAGAAAAAGTTTATTGACGAGCCTTTTGAGTTTTGTGATTTGACTCGACAGCTCGTAGGATTTATTCTCTGAATATAAACAGTTAACATGTCGTGAAAACATGAAATCTGGCACCTTGAAAGACTCCGTGAAAGTGTCATTGCTGCAGTTTGCACAAAGTCACATCTTGAATTAAAAAACAGCCAATAAAAGTTGTCAAACGACTTTGAATGTTTTTCATCTGGGGGCGCGATATTACACAAGCTGCTCATGACACCGAAGAAATAAGGCTCCAATTTAGTCAAATTGTTTTTTAATCTCGTTCATTGTCGTTGGTAAATTACGGCTTGTGGCGTCGGAGAATGATGTGTAATAAACCCCGTCCCCGAGCAGGGGGAGCCTCGTCTTCACCGCCAAGGTTTTAAATCCTCGCTGACACTGAGGAGGAGTTAATTGCGGAGTGTGTGCAGGTTCTGAAGACGGAGAGATTATGTCCTTTAATCAGTCACAAGGAGCTTTAATCAAATCACACCGTGATGATGTCGACGAGGGGTTCCTGCTGCGTCTCGTTATATCTGCGAGTGTTGTTTGTTTCAGGTAATGAAGCAAAGTTAGAAACGGAGGAACAGACTCTCAGACAATCAAAGTGTCGCAGACTGAGTTGCTGTTGTGTGTGTGTGTGTGTGTGTGTGTTTGCAGGTATTGTGCCGGCACCACACCGTGGGGAAACCCTGGAGATCACCACGACTTTGAGCCGCAGCGGCACGATGACGGGTACATCGAGGTCATCGGATTCACAATGACGTCACTGGTATGGAGCTCGATTCCTTGACCCGTGCCTCTAATTCTGACGTATTTTAAGGGTTTAACATAACTCACAGGTCCTTAAAGTTTAGGGATTACTCCTGTAGATTTCTTCAGCCTGCAGCAGGGAAACAGGCTGTGATGGCTGCAACATAATCAGGCAATCAGCATGAGGTCAAGACAGGCACTGAATGAACGACAAATCATCCTCAGAGAGACAAAGAAACATGTTCTCTTAATTCCCGCGTGATCTTGTAGTTCTCCTGAGATCTTGTAGTTCTCCTGAGATCTTGTCGTTCTCCTGAAATCTTGTCATTCTCCTGAGATCTTGTAGTTCTCCTGAGATCTTGTAGTTCTCCTGAGATCTTGTAGTTCTCCTGAGATCTTGTCGTTCTCCTGAGATCTTGTCGTTCTCCTGAGATCTTGTCGTTCTCCTGAGATCTTGTAGTTCTCCTGAGATCTTGTAGTTCTCCTGAGCTCTTGTAGTTCTCCTGTGATCTTGTCGTTCTCCTGAGATCTTGTCGTTCTCCTGAGATCTTGTCGTTCTCCTGAGATCTTGTAGTTCTCCTGTGATCTCGTAGAAACATTGACTTTGTGGAACTAAGCAGCAGCATTACAGAAGTGATCCCGACAGAGATCGACCTCTTTGTTAAAGAGTTTGTTTTTTTTAAAACCGTAAACAGCTGTCACATCGCTCTCCTCAAGGACAACAACCCCAGACTCAGGAGCTTTTTGACCTCGAAACATGCAAATCCAAACAGCTGATTTGCATGATGAGGAGCCAAAATAAAAGTTTTCTGTGTTGATTTCAAATTTCCTACTTTATACTTTGTACTAAATAACTATAATATAAAATAATTATATTGTGCAAAAGAATGGTTTTTGTTTCTGGCGTCCGTCTGAGTCCAAAGCGGACGCATTGTTTGTGTCATCCAGATGGTCTGAAGCGTGTTTTTTCAGGATAATAAATGATGCACAACTCGGTAAAAACAGATGCCGAGCTCTTAAATGTCAGAATGATTCATGCAGACAGTTCGGTTTAATTGCACAGAACAATTTAAAAACAAGCATCGTGAGATTCAAAGCCACAGATCCCTCATCCATCTGTTGGGGAATACGGCGCCTCGGGGGAAAAGAGAAGTGCTTTATGAAGTCATAGCTGCAATAATGACTACATGATAGGTAACGTGTGTGTGTGTGTGTGTGTGTGTGTGTAGGCCACTCTCCAGGTTGGCGGTCACGGCGAGAGGTTGAACCAGTGCAGAGAAGTCACCCTCACCACCACTAAACCTCTCCCAGTGCAGGTGAGTGCAGACCAAGACCGATTCTGAGTGCTACAACACGAGTTTGGAGAAAAACATTTTAAGAAAAACATTTTCAGAAACGTGCATGTTCTATTTTCTGATTTTTTTTTTCTCACTCCAAACAATAAATAAAGTCAAAGAATTGCTGATAAAACGAGTCCTGGTAGTAACTTGTTTCTGCGTCTGGTTTGTTGATTTGCTTCAGGTGGATGGAGAACCGTGCAGACTCGCTCCGTCCGTCATCCACATCAGCCTGAGAAACCAGGCCAACATGGTGCAGAAAACCAAACGACGGACCTCCCTGCCTCACATGAACGAGTACGCCTCCACGCACACACACACACATACACACATCTGCACACTCACCATCCTAACAATGAAGTGTCTTATCATTCAGACTTTGAATTATTCATCTCTTTAATTTGATTTTGGGGTTTTTTGTGTCTCAGTCAGCAGCCGGTCCCCGAGCGGCTGAGGATCCGGGTCAGCAGGATCAGCATGACGGACTACGAGGCTCTGCACTACGACAAGGACAAACTACGGCAAGCATGTAAGGACACACACACACACACAAAAATACACCGAATGGCACATCAGAGTTTATCTTCTTCTGATGTTGATTATCAGATTAAACGATCTTGAGTAGCAGAACGCTTTTTAAAAACGCCTCTCTTTTTAAAAAGTGTTTGTTTTTTTTTCTGGTCGTATCAGGTCACGTCTCACTCTCCCGCTGCGTCTTGTTTGTCAGTGAGATTTCTTCAGAGCAGTTTATCAGGGTCAGAAAGCCCGACGTCTCGCCTCCTTTTCTGACAGCTTGCATCTTCAGGCTGCGGCGGGAACACGATCGCTTGTCGACGAGAAGGTCGGAGCGGTGACGTGAAGGTCAATGCAATCCTTTTTTTTTGGACTGCCTCTGCAGCCTGCATCACTCCCTGAACGTGTGTGTGTGTGTTCAGAAAAGAAACATGCTACACACACACACACACACACACACACACACACACACACACACACACACACACACACACACACACACACACACACACACACACACACACACACACACACACGGTTGCTGTGAGATAAAAGAAAGAGAAAACTCGTCTTCTGCGCTCATTAGGAACAATTACGTCGAGCCAGCTCTGCAGAACACACACACTCATTTAATCCCTGGTAGTACCGAGTTTAAACACAGGGGGGCGCTGTTACCTTTACAATAATGCAAACAACAGCCTTTATAACTGTTAACTGTAAATAATGTATGTGAGTGGAGATATGTAAGCGTGTACATATATTAAACTGTAATGAATATAAATAATTCATCTTTGTATTTAAAGAGTTTTTATTGGCTTCAGGTGATTTCATTACTTTTCACATCTCGTCCGTCGTTTCCCGTCAGTCTGACTTGTTTTTTCTCATTATGCAAATCAATCGGCGCTCTCCACTTGTGGATGTGTCACTCTCGGGGAGATGGTGGAAATATGATTCATACCCCCGAGGTTCAGCCGTTATATCATCTCATCGCCGTTTCTCTCTCTTTCACTGAGGCTTGTTAAAAAAACCATCCTGAACACGCTGAGAATAAAGAGATGGTTTCACACAGATTTTGGATTTTCCTTTCATAGCTGCAGAGGTATCATCTTTGCACTTTTCAGCGAGAGAGACTTCAGCCGGTACACAAAATATTCTGGTCAAATTACAGTTTTACCGGTGAGAGTTTTCATTTATGTTCACTCAGGTATCAGAGTCATTAAATAAGATGACAAAAACAAAAGTACAGAAGCCTGTGATGGCCAAGCTAGTGTCCTAGGACCCGAGATCGGTCCAGGTCTGGAGACCACTTTTATTTAAAGGTCTCAGTCTCGTCTCAGACTCTAAAGCATTTCTGATGGTCTTGTCTTGGTCTCTGACTTTTTTACATTGTGGTGCTTTGAAAACTAAAGTACAGAGACTTTGTTGTTGCTCCCAAATTTATTTAAAAGCAAACTTGGCAAATTTTGTTCACAATCATGATGATTTTTCAGATATACTGTTTATGGTTTTGGTTGTGTCTCTGTCATCAAGCACCCTGGTCTTGGTCTTGGTCTTGGTCTTGCCTCGGTCTCGCCCTGCCTTGGTCTTGGTCTTGACTTGAAACCTTAATAATAACCTAAATGAATCGTGTCCTGAGATCAGCAGCAGCTCTACACTTGGAAATTGTTCCCTGGAAAAGACTAGGCAGACTAGCGTCTCCTTCCCCGTTGTTGTCGACAAAGCTGATATCAGAAGCCCCACCCCTTCTTGATTTTGATTGGACGGTGAGGGAAAAGTGAGACTGTGGAATCAGGGATCATGTTAATTTATTGAGAATGTTTTTTTGTAGGTTTTGTTTTTATATACGCCTCCTACATAAATCCGTCTTTCAGGGAATTTTTGGAGACTTTTCAAGAATCTGTTACTACAGCTCGCTCTTTATCCTCGCCTTCCCCATTGAGGTGTAACGCATCAATGAAAGGTGTGTGTGTGTCTGTGTGTGTGTGTGTGTGTGTGTGTGTGTGTGTGGGTTAAGCAGCTCTTCGCCCGCTCTTCGACGGCTCCTCCAGCAGTAAGCCGTGTGATGTTCAGCCAGCAGTGTTGTTGTGTTGGTGCAGCGTGCGGCGGCAGGCCGGCTCAGCCTCGGGGAGCAATCTTTCTCGTTTTAAAAACATATATCTGCTTATTGAAGACACGCCACCTCGCTTGTTTATTTGAAGTAAAGACACCAAAGACAACATATTGGTGTAACCTTTGGATGTGAGCATGCATTAGCTCAACACCAAAGAAATGTGTCGTGAATCCGAATATTGTTGACATTCTTATTGTCTGTATAATATTGAGCGCTTGTAGAGCTGAAGATTCACTCAAATAACTTCCAATCGGCCTCGTCTCAGCGCTGAATATGAGACGACTACGATAGTTTCATGTCCCGTTGGTCGCTGTGATTGTTGTGAGCGGAGGGAGATTTCTTTGTTGGATTTGAAAAAGTAAAAGTTGCACCGTCTAACTTGCGATGGACTTAAATGTGTTTTTGAAAGTAAGACAGCATGCACGAGTTTGCATGCAACTTTCTAAGTACTTCAAATTGTGAATTTGCTCATCTTTGTAACGTCGGGCCACCCCTGCATGAGTCAGTGCCCCAGTCCAAAAAGGTCTAGACACACCCCTGGGTACGACTGTATGAGCAGCTTTCACAGAGCTGTTGGATAATTGTCTTGCTCCTCTGTATCTCCACCAGCCATTCCTCTGGGCCTGATCGTGGTTCCTGGTGACAGCGACTTAGAGACCTGCAGAGAGCACATCCAGCGCCTGCAAGAGGTAAGACCGAGGAGGGGGAGAACACGGCTGATAAAACAGTCTGTGTTCGGGGGAGTTAATGCCGACCACTTTCCTTCCAACTCTTATAATTACACCACGTCAAACAGCTGAAGCAGCGCGACATTTTGAAAGCAGTCAAGAAAACTTTATCAAACCTAAACACGTGTGTGTTTATGCGTCGAGATGCACGGCTCATTTCTGATTGGTTTAACTGCAAATGTCTGCACATGGCCCACTTTTCTCTGTGCTCTCTATGCTCCCGTCTTCCTCTGTAGGACTTCTGCTCTGTCCAGCCTCCCTTCAGATGCTTTGGACCGCAGGTTGGTAGTCGGATGCGGAAGTTTGTTGTGTTTTTGTTTTGTTTGGCTCGGAGGCAGAAGGGAAACTTCTACATTTTATAGGCTGATTACAAGCAATTAATCCCTTAATCATGCGTTACATTTTAGGGCGTTTTCACACCTCTAGCTCGTTTGATCTGGTCTGAATCATCAACCAGTTTGTTCCAGTTTTTTCAGACGGGGACATTTACGAGAGGACCAAAATGTGTAATGCTCGAGGAGGTAAAACTCCCTGAAGTGAAGAAAGACTAGCTGACTCCTGATTGGCTGAGGCAGCTCCAAAGACAGTTTACAGTTTCTAAACGGACAGACGACTACACAGGTATATTATAGTGTTTGTATTTATCCCTGGAGGAAAACGAGACAGTTTGAAAATAACATGTTGATGTTCTGGAGTCGCTGAAGGAGAAGGACCAGGTTAATCCTCCTGAACCAGGACCAGGTTAATCCTCCTGAACCAGGACCACGTTAATCCTCCTGAACCAGGACCAGGTTAATCCTCCTGAACCAGGACCACGTTTATCCTCCTGAACCAGGACCACGTTAATCCTCCTGAACCAGGACCAGGTTAATCCTCCTGAACCAGGACCACGTTTATCCTGCTGAACCAGGACCACGTTTATCCTCCTGAACCAGGACCAGGTTAATCCTCCTGAACCAGGACCTGCTCAGCCACACAAACTGTTTCTGAAGCTCCATCAGGTCTGCCTGTGGTCTTTAACACATGTTCAGAGATGATGAACAGAGAGGGAGCCCGCTGGTTACTTCCTGCAGTTAGGTCTGATCGAGGTCGATTCATGTTCTATTTACAAACGAACCGTACCAGAGTCTGAGAGCAGATAGAGACCCTCCTTTTCAGGCAGTTGTTTGGTCCACACCAGGGTTTGATTGACAGCTTTCAAACCAGCGCCAACGGACTGTACTAACTCAGCAAACAGACTTGAGTTTGTTTTAACAAAACCAAACAGGTGAGGTGTTGAAACGTCCAAAGATGCAAACAGAATCCCAATAAATAAATAAAATAAAGAACTATAGCAGCAGAATAGAATTTAAATAAAGATTTATAATCTCTAAAATCAAAAAAGAAACGGGTGTAGATGTACAACTCCGGGTCAAAAAGGAATATTCTCCATATAAACCAAAGTTTGCAGTCGCTGTGGTTGTGTTCATCGGCATGCCTGTCCTTCAGTCGCTGTGCTTTCGTCTGTGACCGTTCTGCACGTGTGAGGTCGTGTCTGTGCAGCACGCTGAGGAGGGTTTTCTGCAGGCTGATTGTTTGTATCGAAGTGACTGTACTGCTGCTGCTTTTGTTGTGTGTTTGTAACAAATCTGTCAGATCTAAAAACGAAGCGTGTCAGTCTGCAGATCTAGAGCACCGTGCAAAAAATCTGCAGCCCTTTTTTGACACGGCAGCGCTGCGGTGTGGTTAACTCCCTCGCTAAGAGGTAGAATAATGTCAGAGATTCACTCTTTGGCTTTTCTTATCTTCCTTCTTTCTCAGTCTCTCTGTTGATGCCGGGATCTCTGCACCTGGAACACCGAGTTAGGATGAGCAATGAGTAAAAGTTTCTGCCAGAAAATCAGGCCTTAAAGGGAAACGCACTTCTTTCCAAAGATAGCACACTCTTGACCCGAGCTGAACAAGAGTGAAGAGAGCAGAATGTGTAAGAAAAAAGGCTTCATCTCTCTCGCCACGAGTCAGCGTAGCATCAGAATGATTCAGAAGCTCTTCTTCAAGGTGACATAATGTTTACAAGAAAACTTCAAGGCACTCCTTTTTATAATAAAAGAAGGTCGTTAAACTCTGCCTCTTTAGAAAGCCGTACGCTGGAGCGGTCTAACATGACCTCGCTTTGCCAACACAGGAATTTTAAGTGATTCTTTTAGATTTTTTTATCTCTCGTGTATCGCATCTCCAAGAGCTTCTACGACGAGCTTCCTTTGAGTCCAGAATGTGCTTGTTTACTTTTCTTCTTCTGAGAAATGTTGCTGTAAGTGCTTTCAAGGCTAACGCTAAGATTAGCTTCTGCATCCAGAGTATCACAGATTAAATCACACAAACGGGGATAATCCGAGCTTTAACAAACACAGGAGGCGGATGTTTGAAGAGAGGATTAATGCATCATGTTTAGTATCATGTCTCCTTTGTGCAGTTTGTGCGGAGCTTAAACTATCAGTCTGTTCTAACGGGACGGGGTGAAGATATGTTCAAAGGGAAAACAAGAAGAAGAGCAGGGGGAAGTAAAACTCACCGTGGATGGATGCAAAAAAATGTGCAAAGAAAATACAGACAGTCAGCAGCTTGTTCCTTCAAAATAAAATACAGACTTCTCCTAAAAAGTAAAGTAGAGAAGAGGAGGGGGGCGATCAGGGACGCCATGACACTGCAGAACAAAGAGGAAAGTGGGTGATGGGGGAAGGAGGGGAAGTTTGAGGGTGGAAGAAAAAAAAAGACCTGGACCTGAGGAATGTGTTTTCAGAGGAGGGGAAGACATGCCGACTGGTCTAGAGGAAGGAGAATACTTCGTCTATCTGCCGTAGACTTGATGAAATTAATTTATGTTAAAAAATCGATTAATCAACCTCCGAGGTGCAGCTTCCCGTCGGAGCGCAGCGGTGAATCGTGAAAGGTTAAATCTGAAGTCGAGTTAGAGAGGGCTGGAAATGTTCATCTAACACACACACACACACACACACACACACACACACACACACACACACACACACACACACACACACAGTACATCCACCATTCTAAACAAACAGACACCCACACATGTAAACAGAACCGACTCTGTACTCCGGGGGTTACAAAAGTACAGAATGTGGCCAGCAGTGCATTACACAACATGATACGCACACACACACACACACACACACACACACACACACACACACACACACGCACACAGATACACAAATAAAACCACGTTTAGAAAATGTCCTCTTAGTCATAAAAAAAACAAAACGACTGAGAATGAAGGCATCCTGACGTTTAGTCATAACAGCAGCAGCGGATCGAGAGAGGATGTAATGGACTCTGTAAAGACTCTGAAAGATTCTCGTCGACCTGCCTATAATAATAATTAAGAACATTTAGGAAATATAGGATAGCGTGACCGTCGCAGACTCCATGAAGGCGAGACGAGCGTTGGAAAGTAGCCACCGTTGAACACACCGTGCAGCTGCAGGACGAGCTGTTTATTTTCATCACTTGACACCCACGGGAAATCAGATATTAAAGATACCATATCATCCTCTGCCTGAGCTGCTGTCTCTTTAAGGCCCCTCTCTCTTCTGATTGGCCAGCTCTCTGGAAACCTTCAGTGGGTCAGAACGCTGCAGGGCTGCCGGGGGAGGGCTGCTCTCCAGTGCTGGGAGAAGAGAGTCTATGTACTAGGTTTAAGGTTTGAAGCCATCTGGTGAAATTCTTGGTTTCATATCGGGAAACTATGCCGTTTAGCGCCCTCTGCAGACTCATCCTGGGATTACACCAACATACATTTACCTCATGAGCTTTAACTTTGACCACGTTTAGTTTCGGTTAGGGTTGCCTAAAAAAAGTTACGGCATTGGAATAAATCTTTTTTCAGATATTAAAATCCCAGAAACCCTGAACTCAAACTTCTAACCTGCGTCATTGATGTATCGAGTGATGATTCTTCTTCTTCTGTGTTATCAATAATTTCCCACTCAGCGCCGCTCTCCGGCTCTGCTGCCTCCATGAAGAGGAGAAAAAAAGGAGCTTCGGGCCCTTGCCTCGTGTGTCAGATGATAAATATCACATGCAGCTTCATCCGTTCTGCTCCTCTCATGTTGAGCAGTCATTATGGAACTTATTCATAATGGAGACGAGTGCGAGAGAGGCAAAACGCCATAACCTCTAAAAGGTACAATATGTAGAATTTCATTACGATGTTTACATTTAAATATCTACATTTGAATATGTTGAGGGTTTTACATTACCTTGAATATTTCCAACAGTTTTTCAAAGCCAAAGAAAAACCTTCATTTCAGAGTTGTCATGACAGACACCACATGTTTATCGTTGCCGTGGAAACACCAGCTGTGGGTATTCCGTCAGCTGCAATCAGAAATATCAAACATGCTTGATATTTGTGATTCCAGATCGATCAAAAATAATCGTACTGACGCCGCACGCTCCTGAGGATTATTCCGACAAATCATCGGTTGCGACAAGATCGGGCCACTCTTCATTCTCGCTACACGCACGCATCAAGCTGGTCAGAATCAAACTAAATGAGGTGTTACTCGTACTCTAATCACTTTAAGAAAAAATACATTTGAAGCTAGACACAGTTTTGCGTCCGTGCAGCACAGATGATTTAGCTCGGGACCTGCTCTCACAGGTTCTCCGTTTGTCCGGGATGATTTCTGACGTTCAGAAGCTGTCGAAATCTAAAAACGATGAAGCGATTGTTCTGTGATGAAAGTTTTTCATTGTTTCGTTTATTAATCTCAGGGTTAATTAAGAAGTCTCTTTAAGGTCCGCTTCTCGTCAGGAGAGGCCCGAGAACAAAAAAAAAAACAATCAAAGGAGCGGTTGTGATGTTTGAAAAGTGTCTTTAGTGTTTTATTCAGGAGAATTTTAACGTTCAGTTAAGACGCTCTCAAAGTTTAGTTCTGTCACAGAGGCAGCGGAGGAAAAGGATCAGACACCTCAAACACTTTAAGAACAGAGTCAAACACTTTAGTTTTATAATCATGACGTTTCATGCAAAGTAAATTCATTCAGCGCACAAAAGAAAAGACATCATGTTTTAATTCCATTTCACAGACTCTTTTTTTTTAAGCCTTCATCCGTCGCTTTAAGTCGGTTCAAACTTCCTCTCTTTGTGTGAACGTTTTGAAAGTCGTCTGAATGTAATTGTTCTCGTCAGTCAGAGAGGTAGCGAGGTGTTAACCCGAGAGCAAAGAGACGTCAGATCATAGAGAACAAGTTCAGCTCCAGTGTTTGTGTC